CGGCTGGGAGGTGGGAGAGGGATCTCCGCCTCCCCTGCACCCCAGGCCTAGCAGTGTTGCTCTGAGGCCGAAGTGCTCCAGCGATGCCTCAGGGCGCAGCTCTTTGTCCTCCGCAGCTGCGCTCCCAGCCGGCTGACCCCGTGCGCGCAGAGCAGGCGGGGGCGGGGTCCCGAAACCTACAACATAAATGGGGGCAAGAAGAAAGGAAGTCTATCCCAGGGTGGCGTGTGCCGCTTTCCCCACCCCCTCCCTTTCCTCAGCAGGCTTCTTCCCCGCTGCGTGTCCCTGGGGTCCAGGCGGGGCAGGGTCTAGGCAAAGGCGCCGCGGCAGCTTGGGGAGCGCATCCGCAGCTCGAGCGTCAGGCCCGAGGGCACAGCGGGCAGAGGAAGAGGGCTCGCAGCTTGCCCACTCCCCTCCATCTCTCCTCCTCTCCCGGCTTTTGTGTTGATGCCTCGGAGCTGCAAGGAGGGTGCGCTGGAGAAGGAGGAGGGGGGCCTGGGGTGAGAGGCACCCCCTTCACGCGCGCGCGCGCACACGTTGCCGGCGCACGCACACACAGGCGGACACACACTCACAGACACACACACACGCACAAAGCTCGCTCGCCTCGAGCGCACTAACGTGGCCGTTTTCTTTGTGTGGAGCCCTAGAGGGGGTTGGGGCCCCGGTCCGGGCCGGGGAGATGGCACAGCCCATCCTGGGCCATGGGAGCCTGCAGCCCGCCTCGGCCGCTGGCCTGGCATCCCTGGAGCTCGACTCGTCGCTGGACCAGTACGTGCAGATTCGCATCTTCAAAATCATCGTGATTGGGGACTCCAACGTGGGCAAGACCTGCCTGACCTTCCGCTTCTGCGGGGGGACCTTCCCAGACAAGACTGAGGCCACCATCGGCGTGGACTTCAGGGAAAAGACCGTGGAAATCGAAGGCGAGAAGATCAAGGTGATCCAGACGGTGTGGTCCGGGAAGGGAGGGATCTGGGAGGGGGCCCCTGGCCTGAGGCTGGCTCTGGTGGTTTTCCACATCCAGCGTGTAACTGAGTGCTTACTGAGTGCAGGACCCTCAGCGCCTCCTTATTCCTCTTTGCGTCTCTCAGGGGCCTCATTCCCCACCTCCCCCGATTATGTAGGGCAGGCCAGCGTGGTGGCTGTCTTCCCTCACCCAGGCCTGACAGCTCCTGCTAGGAAAAGCAAGTTTGATCCCATCCTTGACCCTGAGCCTGAGCAGCGGCACCTGTGGGCAGAGGGCTGTGGGCAGCATCTCTTGGCCCTGTTCTGAGAGACGGATCCCCAAGCACTTCCCATATCTTCGGGTTTCTTCTACCTCTGCCATGCCAATAGGCTGCACGAAACCACCCTGGCTAAGCCCGGGGGCATTACAGGGGAGCCGAGGATGGACAGCCAGAGAGAACGAACGCTGCTTTATCCATAATTGCAGTTTATAGTTAAGATGAGGGCTGAGTTGGGTTGGGGTGGAATGGGGGTGGTTCTGGCACAAACCCATGAGCCCCCTTTTCAAGGACCTGAGCCAAGGCCACCAGCCACCCTACATAATAAACAAAACTCATCCTTTTGGAGCAGTCCCCCTGCAGCGATACCTTTTTTGTCTGGGGTGCTGAATGAATGAACTGGCCGTTGCTAATTCCATAGGCATTGTTTTCATAAGGCCTCTGTACAAATGCTTATCTGAGGGCCCAGGGAAATGCCTTGGTCCCCCACTCCCCACTGCTCCCCTAAGTACAAATATTCTTGTCTGATCGGTTGTGGTCACCTTTAGTTCAGAAAAGGTAGAAACTCAATCAGAGGAGAACCTGTCAACGTGCAGCGGGGGGCTGGGAGGGCAAGGACAACTTTGTGTGTCACTGAAACAGAGAGGGGCAGGATTATGGGGAGTGAAGCACTTAGGAAGGCAATGGGAACATGGAAAACCAACTCCTCTAGACTCACTGTGGGCCCTTTCTTAAGCACAGGGTGTGGGGGGATGTAAGCCTCCCTCTTGCCGGTCTAAGAGCCAAAGTGACCACAAGCCCCTCCCCCCCTTCCCAGTGATGTGAAGAGAAGGGGTGAGTAACTGTGGAGACAGATGAGGCTCTCCTGACTCCTTGATTATGAAAATGAATGTGTTTTAAAATGGCTTCAGAAACAGGGCCAAAGCACGAGACATCAGGAAGACGGGCAGCCCCATTCTGAGCCCCAGGGTCAGGAAAATAAAGCATGATTTTGACACTGTGATTTTTGACACTGTGATTTCTTCCGCCCTTTGCATTTTTTTTTTGCGGGGGGTGGTGGTGGTGGTGGTGGGGATTGCTGCATTTCTTTTTAATGTTAAAGTAGGTATCTGTCTCTATCCTCTCCTAGGGCTTTGCTGTTGACATTTTCTGGGTTAGGATTCCTCTACTGTGTCTAGCTTCTTTATGGCCTTCTGTAAGGCCATAAGATTCTGCATTTTCTAAAATATGTCTTTTTAACAATTCAAAATAGAAATACATCGATTGATGGATAGGCTCTAAAGCCCTCAAAACCTCAAAGTTTAAGGCTTTTTTTTTTTTTTTAAATCAAGTGTTACTTGACAGAATTCCCTGGATTTAAAGGGGCAGGGGAGGAAATAAGACCATCTGAAATCTAGATGGAAGAAAAGGAAGTGTTTGGGAGCCTAGGGGAGGAGGAAGGAGAGGAGGAGGAAGCTAGAAAATGAGGAATGGAGGGGTGAACCTAGGGGAAGAGGGTGCCACCTTATAGCCTGGGGACCTTTTTAAACCATTCCTTCCCTTCTAACACTCCCAGACTTAGTCAAACTGGATTTTACAGTCTCTGCCAAAGATTCCGGACTTTTCCCCAGAGGGCAGAGCCCGTGACAGTGTGACTCACTGGAACCAGAGCTCAGCCCCACACCACGTGCAGAGAAGTGCTTGGTCCAGGCATTTTTGGGAAGATGAGATTTTCAAGAGGACAAAGCCTCGTGACACGGGTCATGGAGGAGCCCTCCGAGAGCGGATTGTGGAGGAACTCAGGCTGGAGGGTGGGAGCGAGGAGCTGATGACCTTCTTCTTGTCAAGCTGCTGCCACCCCAGGGCTGAGCTGGCAGGCGACAGACCAGCATGTCCGTGGGAAGATGGCAGAGCTTGGCAGCGAACACGTGATTGAGATGGGAGAAGATTTTGCCCCGCACTCGGGCTAGCCTGGAGTTGCTCAAGGAACAAATGCCAAAGCCGTGCTAGGAGGTGACTGCCAAGGGCTTCCCTTTTAGGAGAGAGAGAAAAGTCCGGTATGACAGGCTGAGGTAGCTGGCCACAGCCAGCAATACCAGGCAGGCAGGCTACGATGCCAGCCCTCGCAGGGGAGTGGTGTGGAGGGCTCAGCCAGCTCTTCTCCTCAGTCCAAGAGGAGGGTGCAACCTCGCCCCGGCTGCCCCCTGTGTTCTAGGGCAGCAAGCATCTTACCCCCTACTGGCGGATGACTGATTCCCTTAGTTGGGGCTACCCTCTTAATTATCAGTGAAGCTCACAGAGGGAAAGTGACTTGCCCAAGAGTACACAGGGCCAGGCCTAGAATTCAGGTCTCCTGATTGCCTTTCCGGTGCTCTTTGCGAGCATCATGCTGCCCAGCTTGGGAGAGCATGCCAGTTTTTCACCCCTAGGGGACTGATGCCCCATTTGTCTCTCGAATCATTGCGCCCATTATGGCCCCCCACCCCATAACAACCTTTGCAATCCAGTGTTTCTTGGTGAACATGGACATCAAGAAAAGCCTCCCATGAGTAGTAATAATAAGTTCTATTTATTGAACAAAGAGCCCAGTATACGCACTTTAAACGTATTATCTTATTTGAGCTTCACAGCAGCCCTCTGAAATTGGCACCGTTGTTTTTCAGTGCTGTTGTGTGTGTGATTTTTTTTACTTTTGGAGAGGTTTTTGCTATAGGGTGCGTGCACTCACCAGAGAGAAACAGGAGAGGAAAAGTGAGAAATCACCCCACAGGACAGATGGCCATGCCACAATCCCTTCTCCTCCATTCTCCTCTCAGGATCTTGGGCACGCATACACATGCACCCGGCGTGAGATTAAGCCACCGGGTCCAGGAAGCGAACCTCATGGGAGTCCAGTGACATAGCCATTACGCCAACTGCTGGTCCCTCGTTGTTGTTGCTTTTTAAGGTTTTTGCCATAGGGTGCGTGCACTCACCAGAGAGAAACAGGAGAGGAAAAGTGAGAAATCACCCCACAGGACAGATGGCCATGCCACAATCCCTTCTCCTCCATTGTTCTCCTAGGATCTTGGGCATGCACACACACACACACACACACACACACACATTCACGCACGCACGCACACACACACCAGGCATGATTTTCAAGCTGCCAGGTCTGGGGCTCGAACAATAGTCAGTCATGTGGGAATCCAGTGCTTTAACCACTATGTAACCTGCTGCCCTCAGTACTATTGTTTTTTGTTTTGTTTTGTTTTTTAAGAATTATTTTATTTGACTTTATTTATTTACTTATTTTAATTTGATCAGAGAGGGATAGAGTGACAGAGAGAGAGAGAGAGGGAAAGTGAGAAAGCAAGCTGCTAGGTCAGAGACTCGAACCATGGTCGGCCATGTGGGAATCCAGCGCCTTTAACCACCACGCCACCTGCCGATCCCCTCAGTACTATTGTTATCATCCCCAGTTTATGGACAAGGAGCCTGGGACTGAGAGAGATGAAATAACTCGCCCAATGGCACATAGATCTGAACTTCGGTCTTTGGCTGTTGAGCATAAGCGCTTCACCATCTCAGCATCCTGCCTCCCCTGTGACAGGCCAGGATTTCAGCTCACATGCAGAGCCCAGGCTTGCTTATTTATTTATTTATTTATTTATTTATTTAAGAGAGGTTTTTGCTATAGAGTGCATGCACTCACCAGAGAAATAGAGACAGAGAGGCAGAAAGCAAGAAATCACCGCCCCCTCCACCCCCAAGAGGGATGGCCTCACCGCAATCCCTTCTCCTCCACTCTCCTCTCGGGATCTTGGGCACGCACGCACATGTGCCCAGTGTGAGTTTGAAGCTATCGGGTCCAGGACTCAAACCATGGTCAACTACGTGGGAGTCCAGCGATGTAACCATTCCGCCATCTGCTGGTGCCTATCCCCGGCTCTTTACCACTGCACTCGAGGGGGCAATATCCAGCCCTCTCAATGTGGCCTGTGCAGAAGGGGAGGTAAACGGCCGGGCAGCCAGTCGTGTATTCCTCCAGGGCTGTAGCCCGAGGACCTAGGAGCCTTCATATCTCCTTCGACTGCACCCAGGACACTGAGCTGAACACCTGGCTTTTGTGTTTTGCATCTTGACTGTCTCATCTTGGGCTGAGAATCAGAGAATGTTCAGAGATAGAAGAGACTTTAGATATCTCTTGAACCAAAGTGTCATTTTTTTTTAATATTTTTGCCATAGGGTGTGTACACTCACTGGAGAGAGACAGAGAAAGTGAGAAATCACGCCCAGAGGGCATGGCCACATGGCAGTCCCTTCTCCTCCATTCTCCTCTCAGGATTTTGAGCACGCACACACACATGCCTGGTGTGATTTCAAGCCTCCAGGTCTGGGACTCGAACTGCAGAGTCAGGCATGTGGGATCCAGTGCCTTGGCCATCATGCCACCCGCTGGCCCCAGTGTTCTGATTTTATAGAAAAGAAGTCGAGGCAGAGGGAAAGAGACTTGCCTGTGATTACGCAGGGCCAGGCCTACACCTCGGGTCTCTGGACTCCCTTTCCGGTGCTTTGTGCACACAGCACACTGCCTGGCTTAGAAGAGCACATCGGTCTCCCCCTCCAGTCCAGCCTCATGGTCTGTCCAGCCCACAAGGTTACCTGTGACAGGGACACGGAGGGACTTCATGTGGGAAAACTGAGTCTTTCCTGACATCAGCCAGGAAGGGTAGAGGCATTCCCCTACCCT